TACCAACGAGCAGCCGAGGCCAAGAGGCCGAGGCTGCAAGGCGGCAGCATTATAGAGCCGTTTGTGCGTGAGCTGCAGGGAGAAAAAATTTCGATTTTGCGTAACATAAGATAACAATAGAAGTTTCGTCAGCCAATCATTTTGCGATTTGTAAAGATTTTTGTCAGTTTTGAGGAGTAGAGCCAGTCAGAGCGCCTGTACGTTCTTTGGTGATGTGCGTACAGCTGTTGAACTTCCCTTGTGGTCGTGGTCTCCGAGTGCGAGTCACTTTGGATTCTTTAGGTCAAAGGGTTAGTAAAAGTATCTCTTCTTGGCGCTATTTTACGTTTATTTATTGATACGCGGGTGCACTTCTGTCAAGTATTCTTGTGAACTTAAACTCGTTTCAAACATCATAAACAGCTCGCAAATTGGCTAACAAGTTTAGCGTTCACAATCGGCCAGCGAGCCATCATACGAATTGGTTAGCTCACATTCGGCCATCGAGCCATATCACACGCGCTAGAAAGCTCATAAATCGGCCAACGAGCCGAAAACTCGAGCTAGCAAGCTTACCACACATCGGCCAGCGAGCCAAACACTAAGAAAGCAATTCATATCAGTTCACAACTGTGTAGACGAAGAAAGAAAAATATCACTATCGGAATTGATCGGCCTGCGAGCCATATCTGTCAAACGACTTTGATATAACTTAAGCTGCTGTTTCACTTAGAAAACACCCAATGTTGATTTGTAGAGTTGACTAAGGAGAAAGAGTAGTAAGCGGCGAACAAAGAGCACTAGGATTCTAGAACACAACTGCCATGTTTATTTCCACCTCGTGGTCTCTCGTTACCTATGATAATTTATGCTAATTATGACAACCAGATGAGATAGCCAGGCAATCAACACCCAAAACCAATTGCCTTGTACTATATAAAAGTAATCATCTAAACGCATAAAAAGACGGCTGTAAGTGGACTAGAAAGATCTATTTTCTGAAGTTATTTCCCCAAGTTCCAGAGTTTACACAACTGCTGAAGTGCGCCCGTGGTGACGCTGCAATGCTGTGTTTATTTAAATTTCTCGTGCTGTTATTTTTACATAATCATCTCAACTATAACCATAGTTATCACTGTGATTTAGCCTGTTTACATGATTATGGAAATGTTAGTGTTAGCGTTACCTTTGTCAAATTCAGAGGTAGATATTTGTCAAGGAGAATACCTTACCCTTCAAATGGTAGTTTTAATCCTTTTGTTATTTCAAACAAGGAGGCACATATTGAAAATGGGAATATAAACAATTTACAAAAAGGCCAGGCTGTTAAGACAAATCACACATATCTCAATCTAAATTGTAGCTGTGAGGGAATAGTGTGTAGTTTTCATTTCCAAAATTACTGTTCAACACATTTTGGGGAATTTTTGTGTGCAGTTGATTGTTTTCTTCAGCTGCGTTATGCCATATTTTGGACTCACCTCTATAATATCAGTCATAATGAGGTTTTTGACATAATCTATGAGTCGTGTAGTGCAAGGCAAAACCTTGGTGCCATAGATATTGTTCGAGAGCCTCTGTGGTCTTTTATCAGAAACCGCTGCCCTTCATTTATTGGAATGGCTGCAGATGCTGTTTTCAGTGATATGTTCGCAATGCGAACTGTAGCCAATCTAACTGATGACTTGAAATCATTGTTCCTTATTCAGCAAAGAACTCAATCCAGTTGTTCATTGTGTGGCAACCAGATGATAAAGACTGCAAGCATAATTGTGCTCTACATAATGTGCCCAAACATGAGGTCCTCAGATTTTGAAAGCCATGTTTCAGAAGCTGTTCCACCTAACACTAGGGCTCTTTATTGTGGTTCATGCCAAACACAGACGGGTGATATTCCTACAATGCAGCATTTCGTTTCAATGCCAAAGTTTTTGTTCACGGAATTATCACCAAATTCCATTAATTGCATCCAGTTTCCAATCAACATAGATGTGTTAGGGAATTAATATTCATTAAAAGCTGTTATAAGTTGTGCAAGCCACCATTTCACTGTAGCTATTAATATAGGGAGATCTTGGTTATATTATGATGATCTGAGTGAAACAGTTCAAGAATTCAAAATTTACAGATGTGAGATCTGTATTGAAGCATGGCCATTGTCCAGAAAATCTAAAAAGAAAGTCCCATATATTTGCTCAAGATGTGTTCGTAACAAAAAATACTGTGAAAAATATTTCAATGTAAAATAATGTGATACCCTCTCAAGTACCAATTGAATTGCAAGGCCTTACTCAATTAGGGGAAATGTTAATAGTACGAGTTTTCCCAGTCAATTCTGTTTAAGCAAAGCCTGGTGGAAAAAAAGCATACAAAGGTCAATGTATAAATTTCTCAAGACATCCAGGAACTGACAGTTTCATTGCCTAGATACCCTAGGGAACTACCAGTAATAGTAGTCTCTGTTAAAGGCAAAGGTAACGTTTATAGAGACCTCACAGTTAGATGGCAGAAAGTGAGTTGTGCTCTCCATTGGTTGGTTCAGCCTAATCCTGTTTATAAAAAAGTCACCATAGATTATGAGTGCCAACTGAAGGAATCTCATGTGATCTGCCTCAGATTAATGTTAGCGAAAACTGTCAAGATAATGAAATTGACCCAGACAGAGGTCCACTTGATGTAGATGAAATAGCAGTCAATGCTGAGACAGAGTTAAGTAGTACAGTTCTTAACCCACTTAACCTGAAGCCGCAGAAGCAACTGATAAGAGATAAGCTTTTACAGAATAAGAAAATAAACTGACCTTCCCGGAATTCTAGCCCTCTCAATGAATTTATGATTAAATATCTTTCTACAATGGCTTTCCCTACCCTATTTCCAGATGCCAAAGGAGACCCTACAAACAGTGCTTCTTTTAAAATTATACAAAAGTAGGATCTTCCAGGACGAGTAATAATATGGTGTTTAAAAAATCTGAGCGTCAAAAATAAGGATTCAAAAGTATCTTATTAACATCTGATTCAAAATGGTATCGAAATTTAAATTTAAATATTCAGATTGTGTCTTGCTCGTTGGCACTTAGCGATAGGTACTACTAGTCTATACTGAACGAATTTTTGGCTAAAAATTTTTAATATATGTAAAGAAATTTTATTGCAAAATTTTCACTTATTGGGAGCTCCGCTTTTAGGCTTGGTTAAATCTATATATTAAAGATAAAATTTTATTGCTCTCACCTAAATTGGTGAACAAGATTACATATTGTCGTCAGATCGTGATGTTGATAGAGAAGCTCAAAACGCGTCTGAGACTGTCGCTTTGTTCTTTAAATTTGTTCGATAGATTATTCAATAAAACCTTACTTATCATTTCTTCTAGCGATTGTCAACCTCTTGCGCTTAAAAAGTAAATACCGGTGAGTATTTTTTCTGTAAGTCCAAACATCCTTAGTCACGAATGCAGTAAGTGGTGACGGTTTTTCAGTTTTACGGAGGTGTCAGTCAGATACGAGGTTGAGCTAAACGAAAACGAACACGCTCCGTGACTAGATGTCAGAATAGACTGAAATGTCAAATAAGTAAAAATGAACTTGAACGCGAAATTAATTGGAAACATTTCGTAAATTATACCACTATAAGGCACAAATTTAAAAAACTACTGTTACTATTCTTGATAGGACTAGAAACAATGATTATTTGAAATGAAAAGTTCAGTAATTTGATGAAAAGTACCATCTTTAACTCGACATGACATGTTTATCTTACTTGGTCCAAGATCTCAAACAAATAAGGCCTAGTTTATACGTCGCGCTACAGTCGAACTTAATTCAGACGAATTTAATTCAAGGTCCCACAAGCAATTAAATTCGACGATAGCGCGACGCCTAAAACGAATTAAATTCCTCTGGTAAATTAAATTCGTCCTAGACGTTTTATCCGTCTCGGTAAGACGGATAAAATATCGATAACGCGTCTTCAGTTTTAACGTCGCACTAGCGTCGCGTCGAATGAAATGCATACATTTTCTTGATATATTTTGGCGAGCCCGTAGCGACCCGTGGCGAGCTTTTCGAGTGACACCTCTGACCAGAGACACTGCATTTGGTAAGAGAATTAAAATACGACCGTATTGATTTCGACGCATAAAACCACGCCACGATTTATGTCGACGAAACGACGAATTTAAATTCGTCTGAATTCGATTGTAGCGCGACGTATAAACTAGGCCTAAGTTGCAGAATTTAGACGACACGTATCAATCAAATTACATTCATGTAGTGAATGGTTTAGTGAATGGTTTATTCGATACCTTAATAGCAGCATAGGCTGAATTGCTAAGGTTTACAATGTTATTTAGGTTGAGATCGGACGTCAGCATTATCAGGCGCCTCTGGCAGCCGCTTCAGTCCATGTAACGACCTCACCTTTCCTCCCACACATCCCACCCCAGGGGAGGACATCCATCATACAGCAATCTCGTGCGTGGGAAATCAACGTCTCCTACCCCTAACCCTGCAGAAGACGGGACCTCCAATTATTCATCCTTATCCGAGAAGACTAGAATATCTATCCATTTCTTGATATTATAGAAAGGTAGCAAATTCTCCTCAGTTCTTTTAAGACCATGAGTATTGGTCCGGCCGGGGCTCGAACCCTCGACCTCCCGCACAACACAATCCGGCGCTCTAACCAATTGAGCTAACCAGGAGGCGATCATAATCAGTCTGATTCGAGGTCTTCTAGAAGCAGTTGCAGGATGGAAACTGCACACGAGTTCAGTTTTGACTCTATTTTATCAATGCTCGTATTCATGCACTTTAGTGGTCACTTTTCGACTGAGTATTTGAATTTCTTTGACTTTTTATTAGTCAACTTGATAGTATATTTAACAAAAAATTACCTTCATGTAGAACGTCGTTTCAACATGCATATAAGTCGAAAGATGATGATTACCTCAGTTAAGGCAGCGGTAATTAACTTCAGCCGTGGAACTTACTATGAACCCTGATGTTTCTTTACTTTCAGCTGCTTGAGTCTCTATAAGCTGAATCATGGACAAGCACAACATTACTCTGAGGCCGGATGAAAGTCAGCCATGCTGTCAAAGTGTTGAGGCCACCCTCTCCCTTGTCTCAGGCATTTCTCTCGTTATCATATCGTTTACTACTGTCCTTGGAAATGGTATGCTGTGCGTGGCCATGTACAAGAATCCACTGAAACGCTTCCGTACGGCGCCAATGCTCTTCGTAACAAACTTAGCGGTTGCCGACTTCTTAACAGGCTCCATCGTGGATCCTTTGTACATTACTTACAACTTTGGTTTCAACCAAGCTAAAGACTACCAGACCGCTTTAGCAGTCGGTGATCATGCTTCATATATTACTGTCAATGTCTCTCTTTGCTCTGCGGTAGTTCTTGTCATCGACCGATTCTTGGCTTTGAAAACTCCCTTTCTTTACCGCAGATTCATGACGAAACGAAACGCTTTGGTAACCGTAGTTGTCCTGTGGGTCTATTCTATACTGTTCAGTTTCCTTCCATATATGGGTACGCCTGACACTGCGTATTATTTGTTGGATCTCCATATCCACGTCACCGGAAGCCTGTTCACTCTGACTGTTTTTCTCCTTCTTATATATCGACTTTCTGTATTTACCAAAAATCAACGAGTGGGTATGACTGGCTCAAATCCTCGACTTGATCAGCAAAGAATACAACTCATCCGCGATAAGAAAACTACTTGCACCTTTCTAATCATTTTAGCTGCATGTTATATCTGCTTATTGCCCTACTACATCTACGTGCACGTTTTTCTGTTTTGTCCCTCGTGTCAGACGAGCTTAGTACTTTTAGCACTAAGCAAAATTTCTGAGCCCGTGGTATACCTTAACTGCGCATTGAACCCATTTATATATGCTTGGAGACATAAAGTGTTTCGGAAATCACTGAGGATCGTGTTCATGCCTAGGCAAATAAGAGTGAAACCGGAGGAAATGAGTTCGCAGAGAACCTTAGGGATGTCAGTCTTTTAGGACCTGGACCCTAAGCCAAAGAAAAGAAGGCCTAGAAGTTGAATTCATTAGACAAGTGCATGCTTCTCCGGTAGTTGGAGTGAAATGAGTCTCTTGTTAAACACTGATGAATCAGGCCCAACCGGGGAGGGGAGGGAGAGGGGGAGGGGGAGGGGTAAGATGATACTGATATATCTGTATTTTTCCGTGAGATTATAGATAGATCACTTTATTTATACACGGTAAATTCCACTCAGTCGTATACAAGCAATATACCTACAAATGTAAGACTTAAAACTATATAATCATTATATGTGAAGGTGTAGTCTGATCATCACTGCATAATCATTATAAAATATACGCAAAGATTAAAAGCCTAATCTAAACGAACTGAACTAACTTCTTATTAGAATGAAAATAAAAGTACTGCTTTTCAGGGACGCCGTGTCATTAGTTCACTCAAAACTGAAGTTACTTAGCTTCGCCTTAAACTCAAATAATGTTTTAGATATTCTAATATCAGTCTTAAGGCTATTCCACAACGCGGCACCGCTATAAGAGAAACTTTTACGAACATAATCAGTACGAGGTTGCGGAAGAGCCAGCCTCATTTCACTATTTCGCAATCTATAAGTATCATTACGAAAGATGAATTTATTTGATAAATAATCAGGTGTCTGTCCATTTGGAATTTTGAACATCTTAACGGCTTTGGCAAAAAGCCTCTGATTCCTTAGGTTTTTCCAATGAAGTCTACAGAACAGGTCTAGAGCACTAGAATGATAAGGGGCGGACAACAATATACGAGCCGCACGGTTCTGCAGCTTCTGAAGTTTTTTGGCCAGACTTGTACTACAGCAATCACATACTAAGCTGCAGTAGTCAAACTGGGGCTTTACCAAACCGTTGAAGATGTTCAAAAGAGTGTAGAATGGTACAAAATCTCTAATGCGCTTGATTAAGCCCAAAGCTGAAGAAATTTTCTTACAAACAGTTTCAATATGGGTATTCCAGCTTAAGTTTTCATCGATAGATACTCCGAGACACTTTGTTGACGACACCTGCTCAATGGGAAAATTATTAATGGTAAGAGACGGATTGTCTGACAAGTAAACTCGCCTTTGCCTAGAAGTTATTATTAAGAATTCGGTCTTAGTCAGGTTCAATGTGAGTTTCAGTAGAAGACAACCAGGTATTAACAGATTTCAAATCTTTCTTTAAACACGTGTTCGCCTTCCAAAAAAGGAGTTACACCCATATTACGTTACCAAAATACCATATAAGTAAAAAATAAATTGTAATAGAGGTTATATTTATTCCGTCGCTAGTTTGAAATATATTCAATGTAATAAATTAAATTGTATTAGTTGTCCGAACGTAGAAATAATCCGTTATGGTAGGTTAAGTGCACTTTCGGTTTACTTCCGCTTTTTAAGGGAAACTCAAGCAGCGGAGTCAGTCATGGGTCTCCCGAAGTTATTAAAGTTACTCCGATATGAAAAAATGTCAGCTTTATTTGTTAGAATGAGTCTAAACATGTTAAGTAGATTACATGTGCACCAGCTACTTACTTTCGTCAGGTTTTGCTTTTAGATGCGAACGTAACGGCATTCTCAGACGAAAAAAGCTTGTTATATCTGCAATCTCCGTCGTTTCGTATTAAAAGGATAATGGCTTTTCCTTCTTGGTCGTTAATTTTTTAGGGTGGATACTGTCAATACTTACTTAAGTTATGTCGTATTTACGTCAGTATACATGAAGTTGTCACTTGCTTTTAAGCGGACGCGGCAAATTATTACAAAATTTAGTCGGGATTCGAAATTTGCCCTCCTTTGTAGTATCAAGGAGGTTTAAATTTGTTCATTACATTGTTTTAAGTAAACAGGAGGGACACGTCATACGACATTTGCAATCTCTTTTGCATCAATTTTTAACAGCTGCACAGGGTTCCAATCCTTGGAGTCCGACAAAGTTGAGTTTGCGAGCGTCATCCCTTGATTTTGAAATGCGAACCTGTCCTGGCGAGGAACTGTAATTCTATGTTTTTTTTATTCTTTTCGAACACAGACCCCAGGCGCGAAGTGTTTGTTGAAGTGCTCGACGGTACTTTGGCATTGTCCATGCGTAAAGAAAAGGGTTTAATCCTGAATTTAAGAAAAGAATTGGCTCCGAGAATTTGCTTATAGCTTTCACTGCTGGTATTTCCATGCAAGATCCGCAGAGTAGTTCTACATGAAGCATAATGTAGATAGGTAGCATACAAGCGATGGCCACCACTAACAGTAGGAACACGGTTCTTAGCAATTTTTTCTCTGATTTTATTTTAGCTTCCATCTCGTTGCGATTTGGCTGCCGTCTCGTTTCGCTGTTGTAGCCTTGTGTTCTTAACGATTCTGTTAGTTGATGCTTGATCGTAAAATATATCGACACATACACCCCTATTAATATCCCTACCAACAGTGTATAATTCAGATGCAAATCGAGCCAGTAGAAAACATCTTGAGCGACACCCATGAAGCGGAGCATACTGAATATCAGAGAGTAACTCCACAATATGAAGACAATTTTAAGGATACGGTTGGGGTTCATCTTTCGCTCGTGTGATAAGGGATATTTTACCGCAATATACCGATCCAAAGCCAGGGAGAGGATGGATAAAATCGAAGCGTTAACGAAAACATATGCAGTTGATTCCCCAATGACAGACAAATTGGTGAATTCCTTCTGCATGAAGTTGCATATTTCAAACGCAGCGTATAAAGGTTCGGTTATCAAACCTGTGAGAAGGTCAGCAACCGCTAGATTTACCACCAAATAGTTAGCAGTACTTCTCAAGCGCCGATGAGGGTCTTTGTAAATTGTCACACAGAGGAGAAAATTCCCTGTAACTGCCACAATACCAACGAATAAGTTCGTTACACCGATCAACAACGGAGTGGGCGACAATCTTCCTGAATTTTCCAAACTGTCAGTTTTGGCTGTCGTAGTGGTGTTTAAACCCATTTTAGCAACTTCAGTTACCTTTGTGACGCGTCTCGTACTTTATGGAAAGTAAAACTTCAAGGTAAATTATCTTATGTATTTCACTTTGTTTAGAATTTGATCTCGATTTGGTAACGATTTCGTTGTTTTAAAAAAATCGCAAATAATTATTTAAGTGCGGAAAATCACCCTGGAGCCATCGCCGTCAATTTTCATTTGCTTGCGATAATGCAATACTTACTGAATGATTTTCATTGGTTGTTATCTCATAACTGATATGAATGAATTAAATGTACCAATAACAATATAATGTTGAAGAATAATAGGTGACAGTTTCTGATTGTTATTATTTGATTTTTACGCATTCCCCCTCCAGCCTTGTTACTGCAAGACAACAATTTTCTTATTTTTGAAATGATGAACAATCCTTATTAAGTTTTGCGACCACATACCATTTTTGCTGAACATTTAAAGCCATATGAAAAACGATTTTACAGAAAGTTTTGTTATTTGAAGAATCTTGGAAATGAGTTTCATTAATGTTGCTGTCAAGGCTTCCAACGTCGCACTGTTTTGGTTTGAATGAAAGAACATCATGATAATTTAACGAGTTCACGAAATAGTGTCGCGTGAGAAACAAACTTTTTAAGTTTGCGACACGTGAAGTGCCAGAGCCTTTGCCAACTGAATATAAATGATAATTATCTGATACTAGGGAAGACTTCTTCGTCTTTCAAGATTTGACTCCACTGATGCGACAACAGTAATTTCACACACAGCTGCGTTCGTAATAGAGAATTTTGTTTTATTGGCTTATGCGATGCCTCAAGGCGTATTACTTGGGAAACTTTAAATCATTTACACTCGGTAATGAAAACGTTACATATATCTTATTAACCAAGCGCGAGGGCCNGGTGGGTAATAAAGGGGTTAGGTGTCAATTGGAACGAATGTTCTGTTCCTTTCTCCTGCCATTCCTGTGACGAACAAATTAAACTTAAACAAAACTTAAACTTAAACTAAAATGCTCTATTGCCGGTCCAATATTCTCTAAGTATTGGACCGGGCACTGTCCCGAATGGTCTCGAATGATACTGCACTTGTGTCCCTTTGAACTTCATTCGTATAATAAATCTCTTATTAACCAAGCTTGCTCGGAACCGTACTGGAAGATTATCGGCCCTCGGTCTTTTTTGTTCGGACCTCGCTGCGCTCGGTCCGTACTGTCAAGACCTTAGGCCGATATTCTCCCAGTACGGCCCTCGCGCTTGGTTAATAAGATATATGCAACAGGCAATCGGTGAAATCAACTGCGAAAATTTAAGTTTTTTTTTTACAACYTT